TATATATATATTATTTCGGATGGTCGCGTCTTGGTGAAAACGGACTATTTCAAGTATTCATCAAGGTGAAATTTAACACATATTCTTTCAAAGGTAATCATAGTGAACAAACACTATTCTATTTGTTGTTATGGTGGACAAACAATATTTCTAGTGGTCATTTTGGTGGACAAACATTATTTCTAATGGTCGTTATCGTGAACAAACACTATTTATAATGGTCGTTATGGTGGATAAACAATTTCAAATGGATGTCATGGTGATTAATGTCTTTAAAACCACTTGTTCTTTATATTTTTCTCTAATTAAGATACACTAGTATAATAAATACATTATGTCAGTTGCCTATTTTGTATTTTGAATAATTTATTACAAAATTATGTATAATATCTCGTGTTTCCACAAGGTGGATCTTCGCCACAAGGAAGAAATCCAGGGAACTAACCGGGTAGAAATTGGCATTGACTTGAGTGAGTTCTACCTGAGCGTGGAGTGGGACGTTCTAGAAGTACCAGCTGTTCGGCACGAGAAGTATTACACGTGCTGCGAGGAACCCTACATCGACATCACTTTCAACATTAGCATGCGAAGGAAGACGTTGTTCTACACCGTCAACCTGATCATTCCGTGCATGGGGATATCTTTTCTGACCGTCTTGGTGTTTTATTTGCCCTCGGACAGCGGGGAGAAGGTCACTCTCAGCATCTCCATCTTGCTGGCTCTGACCGTGTTTTTTCTTCTTCTTGCCGAAATAATCCCGCCCACATCGCTGACCGTGCCTCTGTTGGGCAAGTACCTGCTCTTCACCATGATCCTCGTCACTCTTTCCATCTGCGTCACCGTCGTCGTGCTTAATGTACACTTCCGTACAAGATCCACACATCGCATGAAGCCTTGGGTGAAACGGGTTTTCATGCACGTGCTACCCAGACTTCTCCTTATGAGAAGACCCTCTGACAATTCCTCCGAATCCAGAAAAATCATGGTCCGAACATGCAACGGAACGGAACTGCGTGACTATAGTTCTCACAGAAATAGTTATGATGCTGAATATGAAAACGAACTGAATTTTACTGGATGTAGAATACATGGCCCCGCTGCTCGCACTTACGCGCCTGTGGGAAGTCCAATGACGTCGGAACAGGCGATGAATCAGGAGCAGGAGAGACCCCTACAGGGAGCACGAAGATTACGTTTTTGTCCGGAGTTCGAAAAAGCAATGGAATCTGTGCATTTTATAGCAGACCACACACGTAGATATGAAGAGCATATATCTGTAAGTAACGCCAAGATTAAAGGTTACTTTGATCTTGATGTCAAAAAACACGTGTAAGGAACGCCAAGGTTAAAAGTTATTTTGATCTTGATGTAAAAAAAAAAAAAAAAACTCGTTTAGGTAACGTCATTGTTACTTTGATCTTGATGTCAAAAAACACGTGTAAGAAACGCCAAGGTTAAAAATGATGAAGAATACATCTGTAAAGGTTCCTGGCTACAAACGTATCGCTGGTCATAGTAACAGTTTGATTCATAAAGTTCATTTCCTGGTTGCAAACGAATCGCTGGTCATAGTAACAGTTTGATTAATAAAGTCCATTTCCTGGCTGCAAACGTATCGCTGGTCATAGTAACAGTTTGATTAATAAAGTTCATTTCCTAGCTGCAAACGTATCGCTGGTCATAGTAACAGTTTGATTAATAAAGTCCATTTCCTGGCTGCAAACGTATCGCTGGTCATAGTAACAGTTTGATTAATAAAGTCCATTTCCTAGCTACAAACGTATCGCTGGTCATAGTAACAGTTTGATTAATAAAGTCCATTTCCTAACTACAAACGTATCGCTGGTCATAGTAACAGTTTGATTAATAAAGTCCATTTCCTAGCTACAAACGTATCGCTGGTCATAGTTCTAACTCAGAACATCTCAAACAGCGTCGAATCTATTCCTTGCGGTGAGAATTTCTCCTTTCGATCTTACTGGTTGCGTTTATTATTTCCTGTTATGTTGCCCTTAGAACCAAGAAGATCGTATCTTTTAAAGCTTCATCTTAGCTGACAGAATCGGCGAGTAACTACGTTACTTTCCGGTCAATACAGCTATATTTATTTTGAACAGAAAACGAAATCTTTTTTTTAATATATATATTACGAGTCTGATTATAAATATCTAAATTGTTCTCTCTAACGCATTGTCCCCCTCCTTCCTAGTGGCTCAGCGGTAAATCTGAAGGCTTATAACGCTAAAAACCGGGTTTCGATACCCGTAGTAAGTACAACACAGATAGCCTATTGTTCAGCTTCGCACTTAACAACAAACAAACAAACGCTCTGTACCACGTGACGTTTACCTGTGTTTTTTCTTCTTAAAAACAACGAATGTGAGGGCCAGGTAGAAAACCAAACATGTAGTATGAATGTTTAGTATCATCCAAGTACTTGGAAAAATGTGCACAAGGAGTACTTCAAACATATAAAAAATCAAATAAATATTTAATTTTTCCCTCAAATTATAAAAATCAAACAAATATTTAATTTTTTTCCCTTCAAGTTATAAACATCAAATAAATATTTAATTTTTTCCCTCAAGCTATAAAAAATCAAATAAATATTTAATTTTTTCCTCAAGCTATTAAAATCAAATAAATATTTAATTTTTCCCTCAAGCCATAAAAATCAAATAAATATTTAATTTTTTCCCTCAACTTATAAAAATCAAATAAATATTTAATTTTTCCCTCAACTTATAAAAATCAAATAAATATTTAATTTTTTCCTCAAGCTATAAAAATCAAATACATATTTAATTTTTTCCTCGAGCTATAAAAATCAAATAAATATTTAATTTTTTTCCCTCAACTCATAAAATCAAATAAATATTTAATTTTTTCCTCAAGCTATAAAAATCTAATAAATAAATAATTTTTCCCACAAGCTATAAAAATCAAATAAATATTTAATGCTCCCCAGTGGCACAGTGGTATGTCTGCGGACTTGTACTGTTAGAAACCGCTTTTCGATACCCGTGGTGGCCAGAGCACAGATAATCCTTTGTGTAGCCTTGTGCTTAACAACAAATATTTAATTTTTTTTCCCTTCAAGTTATAAACATCAAATAAATATTTAATTTTTTCCCTCAAGCTATAAAATACAAATACTTCATCACAGCCTATTATTTGCTACAATATTTGAGAATTTCAATCTTCGCTACTAAGATAAAAATAATTTACTTAATAATAAGAATAATCAATCGTATTTTGAATTTTAAGGCCAGGTTTATTTACAATAGAATTTATTTTTTTTGCAATAAAATTGTAAGGTTTATTTGCAATAAAATTTTAAGGCCAGTTTTGTTTGCAGTACAATTTTAATGCCAGTTTTGTTTGCAATAGAATTTTAAAGCCAGTTTTGTTTACAATAGAATTTTAAGGCCAGTTTTGTTTACAATAGAATTTTGAGGCCAGTTTTGTTTACAATAGAATTTTAAGGCCAGTTTTGTTTGCAGTAGAATTTGATGGCCAGTTTTGTTTACAATATAATTTGTTTACAGTAGAATTTTAATGCCAGTTTTGTTTGCAATAGAATTTGATGGCCAGTTTTGTTTACAATATAATTTGTTTACAGTAGAATTTTAATGCCAGTTTTGTTTGCAATAGAATTTTAAAGCCTGTTTTGTTTACAAAAGAATTTTAAGGCCAGTTTTGTTTACAATAGAATTTGTTTACAGTAGAATTTTTAGGTGAGTTTTGTTTGCGGTAGTTTTCTCTTGCGGTACACAAATATATCATGCTTACGGATTCAAAACCGAAAAACAAAACAAACATATCTATGAAAAGCTGTTTCGCAGAATCACCAAATTTTCTGTCTCAAAATTTGTAATCAAACGAAAATTAAGGTTTTTTTTTTTACTGAGTATACTATACTAACACATAGACTTATGCCGTCTTGATGACGTTTTGATGTCTATAAAGTAATAAAGAGAATTAAATATTATAAATCATTTACGAAAAAAACAACTAAAACTCCTCACAGTATTCCATCGTGATAATATTCATAGATAGAACTTTGTTATATACCTATTTGTTGTTGAGAAAACAATAACATCGGGACATTTTATTTTCAGATGAAGGAAGACTGGAAATACGTTGCTATGGTGCTGGATCGTCTGTTTCTCTGGATCTTTACCGTAGCTGTCCTTGTGGGCACGTGCGGCATTATTCTCCATGCTCCAACACTCTATGACAACCAAGAACCCATTGACATACAACTGTCAGAAGTTGCTATGGCAACTAAACACCACAAGTTGTTTTACTCGTGAACTAACTTCGTATTCAAAGGAAATTTCAGGAACAAGTACTAACTTGTTCATGAATCTGATAAAACAAACTACGTTACGAGCAATATATCTGCCAATGAACATAGTAAAAAGTTTTAAATCACGTTTTCTGAAGATTTGGTATGTAAAAAATAACAAAAGATGGAAGATTTTAGACACCTCCGTTGTTATTTGTTATAGGTTTGTCCTGGACACGTAACCACTATGTGATGACATGTTACGTTTACCAGGACTTTCATAAACTTTTAGAAATAACAAAGATGTCTAATGAAAGCCATTGTTTTGTAACGTTTTCAAGATAATAAGTGTAACAATCAAACTTGAATGTAAGAAAAATAAAAGAAATTGTTTGTGAAGGCTCCGATTTCATGTATTACAGACAGATTGTCATCAGTTACTGATAAAAGATTGTCATGAGTTACTGATAACAGATTCTACATTACATTGATACATAACATTATTTATTGGCTACAAACAGATTGTCATCACTTACAGATGACAGATTCTACATTACAATGATAAATAATGTTATGTTTCATTGACTACAAACACCTTTTCACCAGTTACTGATCAATGGTGGTATTAGTAACATGTGTCTGTTTCTAATGTGTGTGTTTTAGATTGTCATTCAGCAGCATCTGTGAAATCGAAAGAGTTGTTGCTTATCAAGATGCCAAATTTGAAAGCCTGGAAAGCTACATTTTAGGGGTGAAACTTTTCTGAAACCTGAGGAGTTGTATTTTAGATGGGTAATACTTTATGAAATCTGAGGAGTTTTATTTTAGATGAAAGATATCCTCTGTAATCTGATTAGCTACATTTTAAACGGATGATAACTTCTCTAATCCAATTAGCTGTATTTTAGACGGATGATATCTTCTCTAATATGATTAGTTGTATTTTAGGCGGGTGATATCTTCTCTAATCCGATTCACTGTATTTTAGGCGGGTGATATCTTCTCTAATTCGATTACCTGTATTTTAGATGGGTGATATCTTCTCTAATTCGATTAACTGTATTTTAGATGGGTGATATCTTCTGTAATTCAATGAAGAGCTGTAATTTAGGTGAGTAATATCTTCTGTGACCTGATGAGTTGTAGTTTAGGTGGGTGATATCTTGTAGACCTTAAAAATGTGTTTTTCGATAGATAACAACTTGAAATTTAAATAGTTGTTGTTATTGTGTTCAGCGTTTCTTAGTTGGGTTATAACTTTTGAATTTTATGCCGTTGTTTGTCAAAAACAGTTTTGTAGGAAGAAGTTTCAGTGTGGGTGCTTGGCTAGACATGTAGATTTTACAATGAGATATTGAAAGTATAAGGTGCTGCTAAAAGAAGTTCAATCTAGGTGGGTCTGGGGGCATGTCCCCCCCCAGAAAATTAGGATAATAATATAATTTACAGTTGTTATATAAGTTAAATATGTAAAAGTTGTGGTGCTACAGTACCCCCGGTTCAAACGCCTCTGAAAAGGGTGTTAGTGGATCCGAAAAACTGTCGTTTTTTATTTCTGTCTGCGTGAAAATAAAATATATTGTTAAAAGACAAAGCTCTAAGATGATAATTTTATGTTGGGGTTACAGAACTAAGCCTAAACCTATTTTAATCAGTCTAAATCATGAATAATATTAATTCCCCAGAAAATTAGATTAACATACTTATATCTCGCAAATTCATTTATCATCTGATGAATTCTTAAACCAAAATCAAAGTTATACATCCGTAAAAAAACAAACTATAATTTAGTAACTATAAATCCCCATTAAACGTATTTGATCTTAACTCACTGGAAATGATTCTTTTATATTAATCTATTTTATTTTTTTAAGTTATGAAAGTACATCATTTAAATACGCGGTAAACGATTTTTTATTTTTCATAATTCCGTCAAATTAAACTTAACTTCTTTCTGTGACCTCAAACTCAAAACGAATTTAAACATAAAAAAATATGTGTAAGTTAGTTTCAGTTAGGAATTTATTCTGTAACAGAACGGTTAATTCTGTCAAAGTATCTAAACTAACACCAAAAATTCCTGGAAAACCCTGACAGCGATCGATCACAAAATAACACACAAACATTTACATTTTATCTCTAGTGAAATAATTTCTTCAAGTTTAAAATTTCTTAATAAAATATGACGTTTTATTGGAAAATACTATGATATTTATCTTTCACGTAAAAATGTGGATTAGACTTTAGATTTACATGAAAAACTTGGACCTATGCAAAAGCGACTGGTGTAAAGCAGATTTATTAAAATATTACGAGTACAACATAAAATGACAGTAGAGTAAAAGTTTAACACCAGTGTTTTGTAAAAACAAATATCCGTACCCAAATATTCTACTAAAAATGTTTCTTTTTAATAGGGCAGGGCATGGCTTACTTGCTAGCGTGCCCAGACTGAGAAGTCGAGGAATCATGGGTCGCGTACCATATCCGATAAAGAAAGATCCGTACATTGGTATCGTGAATGTGCTATAAGAGTGACAGTCAAACAAATATCCGTACCCAAATATTCTACTAAAAATGTTTCTTTTAATAAGGCAGGGCATGGCTTACTTGCTAGCATACCCAGACTGAGAAGTCGAGGAATC